GGACCCCTAACTCACTTGTTTGGGCGAAGCTGGCGCCTTCTGCAGTGCACACGAAGCACACAAGCAGCATGTAAATAAAAGAGTGAACGAAGAGGGAGTAGGCAGATGCACAAAACAGCCTTTTCACGTGTAAGTGTTGTTCGGTTGAGAACATCCTGCTCTGTCTTCCGCTCTGTTAGCCCGTCAGCCGGTACCTCCGACGGGCGAGGCTAAGGAATAAGCACAGTGTCGTCCACTCACCAGAAGCTGCCGCGAGCCGCCCATGTGTAACCTTTGCTGAAGGCAGCAACAACAGCAGAAGCAGAAAGTGCAGGCATAAACGCACGTCGAGGTGAGATATATCCAGGGACACGAACCACGCACTTTCAATTGAGGCCCTGGGCCGCTGCAGGATCTGTGGGGCGGCGACAGGGGAGGCAAAAGGCCTACCTGATGCTATGAGCGTCCCTAGAAGGGATCCATTCCCGCAGATAGCGTGTTTAAAGTTTGTAGGGAGGAACGAAGGCACCTCTACCTCCGCCTCCCCCTTCACCTCCACCGCCAGCGTCACCCCTGGCTGCGTGCACAGTGTTGCGCTATCTCCTGTCTCTTCTCCAACGGCGACAATAGACAATGCGACAGTTTTCTCTGTGGCCCCGGAGCTGTGGAGGATGAAACGGCAAGAGCCGTCAATGCGTCTGTCTGCCCCAACCTTGCAGAAAACAAACTCAGTTCCAATCTCGCTCGGTAGCGCCTCCAGCCACACACCCAAAGAACTTGCTGCTCCTGGTGCTGTTGGTGCTGCTGCTGCCCCTGGTAGCGGCTTGAGGGGCATATACGGGGGGCCCACGATATCGGTCACCGGGAGTCGTGCCTTTTTGGAGAGAGATACGCGGCGGGTACGTGCGTCACCGCTGCTGAGTTGCAGCAGCGCGCGCAGGAACCTGAATTCATCTCCCTCAACACAGGAGACAGCCGAGTCCCCTACTTGCACCGGCGAGCAGTAGCAAACCTCATACACTCCATCCTTCAGGTCCTTCAGCCTGCTGTCGTGTCGAATATTGATTTGGGGTTGCAGCGGCCACGGGCCAGCAAGAATCTTCCCAGCCCCGCAGAACCGCATCACCCCCAAGAATCCCAATGGAAAGGGATGGTCTTTCTGAGGGCGTCGCTCCACCGTCTCGCCCCACCAATCCACAACTGGCAGCTCCAGGCTCAGCCAGCA